CACTCTCAACCCCTACCCCACCCCGCGGTACGTTCGAGGTGTCTGTCGGCGTTTTTGGCAAACTCGGTCTAAGAGACAGAATTAATTTTACGAATATCTTTGAACTCAGGTTATAACCATTTCGTCCCGACAGAATTTCTTCCAAATTTTACAGAGTTCTGAACAAGTGAAGGCTCTACGGGCTGTCAAAAAATCAACCGTGGTTTCAGAACATCTGAGGAGACGGTCTTCTCTTTTCCTTCTTCTTCTTCGATTTTCCTGTCACAACTTGTGAATAAAAGATCCGTATAATGCGGTCAAAAACTCGTGACGCAACTTATCCTCAAATACCTTATCACTCTCACACTGAAATGTAGAAGGGAGACTTACACTGGTAGGTTTTCCTTTTTTGCACAATTGCTGTTGTTTTTTGTTGTAATTCACCTTTTTACCGTCTAAGCACTATACATTTGTGATGCAACTTATCCTCAAATATCTCTTTAATGGGTGAACCAATGTCACCCAAACTTTACACAGCAGTTTGTATCAATTTGTCTTACTTAGTCATATTTTTCCACAATAATTGAGGCTAGATTTAAAAACTGCTCTTCATAAATTTATATAAAATGCCACAAATCTCAATCACGCGAAAAATATGATTGTTCACGGCATTTCCCAATTCTCACACAAATTTTGCATATTATGCATATGGCCTACGTCACAGCCCACCATTGATTCTTTTTGGTTGCAAAACTTGTTACAAGAAATTGATTTTTATTATGAATTCATTTTTTTGCATTAAAGGTTCTCAAAATATGTATTCATAAGCATGATGCCGCGATTAGAAAAACATGACAGACTTGCTCTTAAAAGCAATACTGCCTCAGCTATAAACCTATCAAAATCTATAGAAACCACACACTTGAATTTTTTAGTAGTATCTATCAAAAAATTTTCCAGAATACACATAACAGGTGTTTACAAAAATATTGATCAATTTAGACAAATTGATACAAGTCTTTGTGCAAAAGCTGGAGAGTCTTTGTTCGATGGTTTAGGAAATGTTTGATAAAAAGTTGCGCCACCTATTTTTTACCGCAATATACGAGTAGTTAGGCCTTTTACATTTAAAAGACAGTGGTTCTTACGGCCTGATCAACACTGGAGTATTATTTATGCCCGCTACATTTTCTATCTGAATGGCGTAAAGATCGATCTACGACAACTGCGCGGTCTGTGTGGTCTTTTCGTACGGTGTAAAGACAGGTCTATGCCGGCTGCCAGCTACAAGACACGCCTGTACCCTCAGTAACAAGTTTCCCAATGCGACACAAAGAATCCCTGGGCTCCCATCCGAGTTCACTGTTTCCTGGTAAATGTCGGACAATATTACCGGCCTCGTCCGACCATGTAGGTGGCGCTGGAGTACATTATCTCGCCCCAGTGTCTCTATCACCCACCGTCAGAGGTCTTCAGAGCTTTCTAGAAGACAACAAGGCTAGCTTTGAGACAGAGCCCAGAAGACAATACCCGTCTTTGTCTCCCGAGAACTCGGGTGGTCTACTCACGAAGCGTTGTCTTCTAAATCACGAACACGAGCGTTGCTGTAATTTCCCCGCTTCTAAAATTGTCACCCTAAATAATTGCCGTGATGCTAGTGGTATTTACGAGAGGGCCACTCTTGCTCAGAGTCTGAACAAACGTCATTTGCCGGGAAATAATATACGGAGCGGTCAATCTTTGACCTTTTGACCGGCACGTTGATCGACGTTACGAGACGTCAGTGACAAAGAGCTCGAAGCTACCCCCGACCTCTTCCACCCCCTCACCCCCCAACTTCTGGAGGCAGTAGGAGATAACAAAGGTGGTCTTTCTATCATGAGACACAGTCGTGAATAAGTCGTAACAATAAATTGATCACAGAGCTCGGATTAGGGCAATGGCCAGGGCTTGAGCGTGATTGTGCAAGTGTCCATGCGTATGTCCGTATATATATATA